TTAAAAATATTTTTAAATTGTTTTAAAAATATATATATTTACAAAAAAATATATATATATATATATTTTTTTTTATTAAAAAATACAAAAATAAAAATATGAATAGTCAGAAATAAAAGAGTCATACCTGAAGAATGACTGAAACGTGCTTCTCTCCAGGTCTCGCAGCTTTCCATTTTCTGTACGTGTCGGAGCTCAAGAGGTTATCCGCTTTGTGAGTCTGTGCAGAAGAACTGATTCATTCATTCATTCATTAACAAACACACACAGCTCTGTTATTTTGTCAGTAAGATCCTGTTGTTACACGAGTTTTGTGATTCTTGTGACTCGTGTTCAGACAAATGTTTAAAGAGTCTTTCACTGAAACGAAAGAACTAGAGTTGGTCAGTTTGATTCATTTCAGTGAATCAATTCAAAACTTTTCCAACTCACCCAATCTGTCCTGTCCTCAGACACAAAGTCTTCTCAAGCTTGCAGATTAGTGTATGTTGATTGTAAAGTGGCCTTGAGCTTTTGGAAATATAAAAACAACTTACATTGTCCTCACTGCTGCACGACACGACACGCTTGAGTTTGATTTCAGGCATGTTCCTCAAATTAAACACTTGCTTCTGGTCTCATAAAACCTGAAAACACTGTACATCAGAGGGATATCATTTCATTAACAGTGAAAATTATCATATTATGTACATGAAAGCCTGCATAACACTTATGATCTATAAAAAAAGCATATTCATGACTTTCCCACAACATTTCCACTTGTTTATGACTGCTGGAAAAGAGTTTTACCAAAAAAAACAAGCAAAAAACATTCTGATTCAGACTGATTCGCTAGTGAGTCGTTTAGATCGAACTGCGAATCGACTCAACAGAACGATTCGGTCACAAATCAGACATCGCATCACGGCATCATGACAGGTTTGACTGTTTTACTCAAATACTTGACTTAAATGCGAACTATCGGAGTATTAACGGATCAACATCAAAGTAAATAAATAGAATAAAGACTTCATCGCACTGAGCGCTGCTGTTAGCGAACAATAGAGCCGCATTACAGCGCTCATTAAAGCGGTAAAACCCGCGCTGGAGTCATTCAGAGACTCGACTTCATTAAATCAAGAACACTGTACCGAAGTCCGGAGCTCAGAAAGCGCTTTATGTGCGTTATTGTAGTCTGTGAGGAGACCAACACGCATACGAACTCCCTCTCAAGCCACAACACGTGACGTCACTTCCGCCCGCCGCCGGAACACGCTAGACTGCAGAATAAAAGTCCTTTCAATCGCAAAAACACAGAATCGATGGAAGTCATCAAAAGTCTTACAAGAAAGAGGCATACAACATTTTTTTTATTTCATTATTTATTTTATTTTATTTCGTTTTATGTATTATTTATGTGTTTTATGTATTTAAAAAAATATTGTATTTATTTATTATTATATTTATTATTATTAATATATGAAAATGACTGTCTGATGTTCAGTGATCTGCAAATAAAACACACATAATGACTTTATGTGCTTCTTCTGTCTGTTCAGTGATTTATTTACTCATCTGATGCAATAAAGTCAGTTGTTAGTAATGTTCCAGGTATCTTTTCTTAGCAAAAACGATTTAGGATTTATGAGATTAGTTCAATAATTTCAGCATAGCTTGTTACATTTTTTTATTCAGCTGAGAGCCCTGTTAAAATACATCTAAAAACTGTCAATAATTTTTTTTTTTTTTGCATACGTAACAAACAATATTGTAAAAGTAACATGCCTTTCGTGAATCTCAGATTGCATTTTGTTAGTTAGCACATAAAATTAAAACTAAAACCACCAAAAAAAATCATTATTTGAAATAAAACATTACTAATATATTTTTTTTATTTAGACTAAATTAAAATGAGAAATGTTGCCTTGGCAAGAAGCTGAAAAAAAGTTTTTATGTTTTATTTTATTTCAGTTAATGTTTCTTTTATTTTTTATTGTTTTAGTTTCGGTTTTAGTTTTAGTAAATTATAATAACCCTGATAAACATTAACTGAAAAAAAAACAATATATATATATATATATATATATATGCTTAACAACCATTAACTTTTTTAAAGAACACATTTCTCATTTTAATTTAGTTTAACTTCTTGTTACATTTTTTTATTCAGCTGAGAGCCCTGTTAAAATACATCTAAAAACTGTCAATAATTTTTTTTTTTTTTTGCATACGTAACAAACAATATTGTAAAAGTAACATGCCTTTCGTGAATCTCAGATTGCATTTTGTTAGTTAGCACATAAAATTAAAACTAAAACCACCAAAAAAAATCATTATTTGAAATAAAACATTACTAATATATTTTTTTTATTTAGACTAAATTAAAATGAGAAATGTTGCCTTGGCAAGAAGCTGAAAAAAAGTTTTTATGTTTTATTTTATTTCAGTTAATGTTTCTTTTATTTTTTATTGTTTTAGTTTCGGTTTTAGTTTTAGTAAATTATAATAACCCTGATAAACATTAACTGAAAAAAAAACAATATATATATATATATATATGCTTAACAACCATTAACTTTTTTAAAGAACACATTTCTCATTTTAATTTAGTTTAACTTAGAGTAGTAAAATAACTAAAACTGAAACAGAAATGAATAAAAAAACTATACAGACATAAAAAAAAAAACACTACAAAATTACTAAATCTCACTAAAATTAAAATAAAAATGGAAGATATTAAAATAAAAAATAATTCGAAATTATAATAAAAACTACAATAGCATTTCAATGATAATAGAATAAAAACTAAAACAAACAATAACTGGAAATAAATGTTAGTAAAATGGAATAAAATAAAATATGAAAAAAGTCACACGCATCACTGCATCTTGAGATGCCAAACACAGAGTTTATTTTATTTCTTTATTTCTGGAGGCGAGTTGAAGCAGGAATAACAGCACACAGGTGTTTAGCTCTCAGTGAAGATGCACACAGACAGAACACACAGTCTGAGTTCAGAGGACCTCCACATAGACGGCCGTGTCGGAGTCAGCAGTGACGGGGATCTGGCGCTGCGCTCGCTGGCGTCTCGCTCCTCGTCTCTGTCTCTTGTGCGTCTGGAACACAGATGGCTGCATTTCAGCATCACATCAAACTAGTCCTCAGCATTATTTCACACAGATGCCGAGTTTATTATTTATTTGTCCCCATGACTTCCACTTATTACACTGAAAAAAATTAAAAAAATTTAGGGTAATGATTCACATCTATATTTTTTAACTTGAGCCAATGAAAAATAAATAACTTGCCCTTTTTTTCAGTGTATAATGTTAACAAATTATTCTTTTTATAATTCAGGGTTTCAATAAATGTTAATTTTTGGAATTTTAGGAATAAGTTTTCCCAAAAAAAAAAATCAAAATTCAAAACAAACAAACAAAAATCCAAATACAAAATAAAAAAAATATATATATACAAATTTAAAAATACAAATAAAATAATTTAAAAAATTAAAATAACACATTTAAATGAAATAACACATTTAGAATAAAATTCTAAATAAAATAAATAAATTAAAAAAAGTAAAATTTAAAATGTAAAAAATATATAAAATAAAAAATGATTAAATATTTAAATAATTGTAAAAAATCTAATTGATAAGGAAGTTTATTTATTTTTTTCCCATGACTTCCACATAACATTATTTTTATAATTCAGGGTTTTAATAAATGTTTATTTTGGACCTTTAGGAAGAACGAACGAATGAACGAACGAATGAATGAATGAATGAATGAACGAAGGAACGAACGAAGGAACGAACGAATGAACGAACGAAGGAATGAATGAATGAAGGAATGAATGAATGAATGAATGAATGAATGAATGAATGAATGAATGAATGAACGAACGAACAAACGAATGAATGAAGGAATGAATGAATGAATGAATGAATGAATGAATGAATGAATGAATGAACGAACGAACAAACGAATGAATGAAGGAATGAATGAATGAATGAATGAATGAACGAACGAACAAACGAATGAATGAAGGAATGAATGAATGAATGAATGAATGAATGAATGAATGAATGAATGAA